ACGAATTTCAGCCATGCCAAAAACGAATTACGATAGAAGTGCCAAAGCGATTCATTCACAGTGGTACTCCATCTCAATGGATGGATGTTGGAACGATGGAACTCTCTATGACCTATCCAAATCAAGATCGTAGTTGTAAGAATTGAAGATGAATCATTATAAAAGTGTATTGATCACGTCAAAACTGTATCGCACCTTCGTCCAGCCGTTTTATATTGTTCTTATGGAATACCTCGTCCTTTTCGTTGGACAAACTTTCCAAGTGAAGTTCTCATTGGGCGATCCTATCTTCGCCGCACTTCTTTTTCCCTAAAAACGATTTTTCAGAGAAGATTCCAAGACTGGAAGAGGCCATCATCAGCAGCTAATGCAGTCATGGGTGTTTTAGTATAAACGAATAAGTGTGGAGAGAAACATTTTGGCACAGACATAACGTATAAGTTTGCTACACAGTTAAGGATGACGTGCTAGAATTATTCCACTATGGGTGCTCCACGACAAGCTGATCAAGAAAATGCCCGCAGTGTGATGTGGCCATTCTGCTAGCGTGAATGTGGAACTGATTCTCTCAGGTGTCCACATCTATCGGGTGCTGGTCGCTTGTGGTTACTAAATAGGTTGGGACCCTACACGGAATGAAAGTGATTGGCGGATACATACATGTTGAAACGAAAGTCTGAAGGCCATACAGAAAATACGCAACACCGAGAATCCGTCACATTCGCATTCCTAGTCTCTTGACCACCGCTTGCACCAGTGCATCTGATGCATTCCTGATGCAAACTTACTTCATTGTACTCACTCTCTTTTTTAACAGAAATCCTCACCCATTTCGTAGACATCAATTTCGTGGACGTTGCAAGCAATTTAGGTAACGTTGCACTCGATTCCATATCCTTCCACTCTCATAAACGAAGCAACCAATTTCATAATTCTGGCCGCCATTTCTTAATATCAGTCTCGCAAAAGTCATAGTGCGCGATCTGATATGTGTAACCCTTGTTCCGTGAGAACGCAATGTCTAATGAAGTTAAAAACCATATTAATGATGAGAGCCTCTAATAGAAGCCCAATCATTGATAGTTGACGGTGGTGGCTAATAGTTGATAATTGATATTTGTAATTAGCGACAATCACGTGAAATAGATGCATTGCGTACAGGGTGGTCCAAAATTATGAGGACCGCGTGCGCGCGCAGTCATATCCACTTTTTTCCGAGTCGCTCCATTTTCATCTCCTTTTCTGTGCACTATGTGAGAGGGTACAATGTCTTCTTCCTAATGAAACCAAATTTCATGCAGTTCTCAAAACTAGTGAAATAACTACATCACCTTACGTCAGTCCTCAAATTGAACTCACTAGGGCTCTGGCACGTTACATCTAGCGGCAGTCTAACGTATCAGGGAAGCTCTTATGAGCAACAGTTCAACTCTTCAATAAGTTTGGAACCACCACAGATGGAAAATTCGGAGACTCGAAAGTTACAGTTACCACCAGGATAATTATCAGATGCAGAAACTAGGTCTCCCCTTGTCGACTTTCGTACTCCCAAAATGAAAAAATTGATGTGAAAACCCAGCCAGACACTCTAAAGACTCCACATCTGTAGTGGATAGAAAGCCACTCGAGTAGTCTACTTGGGACTTTTACAGGACCGAGCACCCAAGAATAAAGCAAAAATTCTCTAAAAAGCGATTTTTCGAGTTCGTTGCTTTCGAAGAATTGTTACAATGGAACCTTCCACCTAATAGCTCTAGATTTCTGTATTTCACACCCTGGAGGCAAGCGCAAATAAATGCCCCACAAAACTTTGATTCCCTGAAGAAAGCAGAGCAGAAGGCCTGGAAACATTTTGACACGCCTCAGTTGCGTGCCACCGCACGCGCCATCCCCCTTCATCTGAAGGCTCGTGTAAACGGGGCAGGTGGCAGATCTCAATTCTATTCTGGAATTACTTTGAGATAAGAGTTACAAACACTTCCCTGAAGTTTGTTGTTCCATCAAGCTACTATGCGTTTTTAACGACACAATGTCTTGGTCCTCATAATTTTGGCCCACCCTGTACATAGATAATCACAGTAACATAAAATGCGTATATAGCTAGTACAAATAATCACCATTCATGTCAACAATCGAGAGACCACGACTTATTGAAAGCTATTTATTGTCAAGTAGTCGTAGTTGTAACAATAATGGTAAATCACAATGAAGCAGCTTCCTAAGAGAATGCTCGAACAAAATGAAGAGGTTCACTGAATTCTACCGATGCGGCGAGTGATCAGATGATCGGTGGGCGTGCACTGACCAGCCGCGGCGGGATTAAACCTTAATAGGTCAACGAGGTCAACTCCTCCTGTGCAAATTGTGCTTCAGTTCGCACACTTAGGAGCTCCGCGGGTCCCTCAACCAGGTGAATTCTTCCTAATTCGATTTTCCCTCTGATCGTGAATTCGTCCTTTAAGTCGTTTTTCGGAAACCTTGATGCGAAACAGCACATAGAGCTTTTTTGCACGTGGTGCTTCTAGAGACGCTGTTTCAGCTTTTCAAGCATTATTGCAATTATCCCAGAATATAAGTGGGTTTCCTTAAAAAGTTTTTTTTTTTATGTAACAGACACTTTGTCCTGTCTCCTTTGTTGCTACAATTTGTGAGAAATCATGCCTGAATACAAACAATATAATGTTATAGCGGTATCTGCCAAAAGGACATTTTAGGATTGCTGAGGTGAAAATTGTTGCAGCAAGGCGAGTCGCTCAAGCAGCCCAATTTTCTGCTTTCGACCGAGCTCCCGCCAAGTTTTTTTCTCGCTTAGCGCAAGTCGTTGCTTGCAGCTACCGGTCAGCGAGCTCCTATCAGGGTCTTTATTCAGGTGAGAGCTTACACGGGAATAGTTATCTGGGCGTTTTGAACAATTCGGACGGAGGTTGCCAATTTTGAATGAATTTTCCAAAAACTCACATCTGAAGATGTTCTCGGAAGAGGCACTAGAGATGAAGCAGTGCAAGCACAGTTCTGAATATAAGCACGAAGTTTTCATTCGCGAAAGCTACATTTTTCTGCCTTGATTTTTTGCTCTGTCTACCTCGCAAAATCGTGCTTCCACCACATGCTCTTTCGCTGCATTTTATTTTTGCATGGATTACACAACGAAGACATACGTTCGATGTCCAAAGTTCGCGATATCATTTCGCATATCGACAAGGCAAAACACACTTTTGCTGGACATCTTATTAGGCGAGACGACGGACGTTGGAGCACTACAACTGTGCGCTGGGAACCTCGCGACAGGAAACGACCTCGCGGTCGGCCCCCTCTGCGATGGCAAGACTCTCTTGCTCACAGAAACAATATTTGCGATTCTAATTCAATTAAGGTATTAGTCCATTGGACGACATTGGCTCAAGATAGAACATCGTGGAAAAGAAGTTGGGACCCGCGCAAGAACAATCGCTGATAACGGGTCGCCAAGTAATCCAAGTAAGTTATCCCGCTCAATAACCAAAACATGTAATTGTAATTGTAATTCAGGAACAAATCGTGTATCCAACAGGGTCAACGGTACGTTGCGGATTTCAGAACTTTTACGATCTGCCCCCCCCCCTTCTAGTGAATATCACTGTGACCTCTTTGTACCAGCTATTTATGTCCATTCAAATATTTCTGCCCCACCATTGATGTGTGGGCAGTCATCGACAAAAGAAGAGGTGAACAGTGGATAGTTAATACGTCGCTCAGAGGACACTTTGTCTCGCTCAGAGGACGGATATGAGGCTATATGCAATTTTACTCTTCAAGAAGAGCGACTTCCAACATTTCGAGTAAGCACAAAAAACGGTTGTGGTCGTAAAAATCCTCTTTCAGAAAGCTACAAAATCTGCTCCGAATGTGTTTTATTTCTTCTGTGCCTGACAGGTTTTGTATGGTGGAATATTTATTGCCTGACGTTTCGACGCAATCGTCGTTTTCAAAGGCCTGAAAGCGTTTCGAAACTTTTACGAACTTAACCGAGAGAGTTACAATAAAGTGCGTATGCAGCGTGGAAGTACATGCACCATTGGAAGCAGTCAAGATACTGTTGGGGCGGAAACATTCGAAGGTTTATATAATTTATGCATATCCACGTGGAAAAGACGCAAATTGAAAAAAAGATTAGAAACCTCTGGAAGAACACGGCAGTCAATACATACCATTTGTACGTTTCCAAAGTTTCAGTTTCACTCCATAGAGAGGGAGCGGGTTAAAGTATTTGGACAGTAGGCTCCATGTCCGTCTTTCTTGAAACCTCGGCATTTTTAGATGTCTTTTAATTTCTTCTGTGCCTGACAGGTTTTGTAAGATTTATTGCCTGACGTTTCGACGCAAATCGTCGTTTTCAAAGGCCTGAAAGCGTTTCGAAACTTTACGAACTTAACCTACCCGCTCAACACAAATATGCGCTAAGCTTACAACACTCAGACCAGCGAACCATAGTATGCTAACTCCAAGAACGGTTTCTCACCTTAATTCCACCAATGTTCCGCTCAACGGCCTCCCTCAGCGCTTTGCAGAGTGAACAGAAAGTGAAACTAACTGACCGCACACTGCTTATAAAGGAGGAACGTGCAGTGCGCTCCGTATTCACTATCATAGCTCACATAGAGGGATGTAGGGCAAGAAATCGGCAGTTATTGAGATGCACTCATTCCTGTTATTCATACTTGGATTTCGTTGTTTTATCCAAAA